TATACAGATCCATCTGAAGACCCTCCATCCTGAGATGCTGAAAGACAAAAGAAAATAGAACAATCTAGGAATTTTCATCTTCAGTTTAGGGCTAATGGAAGGGAAAATATAAAAGCACAATAAGCATATTCAAAGGTGAGCTTCCAAAAAGTAGTCTTTTATCCATAGGCAAGAAAATGAATCTCCACCTTAAACTTCACACCTTATAAAAGTATTAACTCAAATGGGTCATGGACTTACATACAGAACTATGAAACCTTGAGATTAAAACATAGGAAAAAAACCTTCAGGATCTAGGGCTATGCAAAGAGTTAGACTAGACACCAAAATCAGGATCCATAAAAGGAAACATTAATAAATTGGACCTCATCAAAACCAAAAACTTTTATTCTGTGAAGACCCAATGAAGAAGATGAAAAGACAAGAAAATATTTGCAAACTTATCTGCCTGACAAAGGACTAGTGCCTAGAGTATTTAAAGAATGCTCAAAATGTAACAGTTAAAAAAAATAGTCTTTCTTTTGAATCCTTGGTTTTAAATCCAAAATCGTTGAGGATTGCTGATGAGGAGTTCCCCTGCCGGAAGCACTTTAATGGAGGAGAGTGTTAGCGCCAGTATTTCCTGCAAACCCATAGCAGTCCTGCAAATGTGCTTTCAATACTGAAGTAATCTCATTTGCCTCACAGTTGCGTAGACCTCACGCTGGCTTTAGAAACAAAAATAACGGACGTGGAACACTATGCAATCCATCTCTACAACTGTCTTCTCTGTTATTTTCCGAGCCACATGTTAAACCATTTGGAACTATTTAAAGTGGTTTTGACCTGTCTTAACACATGATCACATGAACACTAAAGAGTCTTCTCTAAATTCACTCCAGCCATAAAATGACTGAACTTAGTGACAAATTCTGGAAAGATCCTTGGACCTATATCCAGCACAATTCACTTTCAAAGCATTTATTTATCTGCAGAGCCACCAGACATATCTCTGCCCACAGCGCCTCCTCTCCAATCTCTTGGCCCAAAGGGGTGCTCCATACTGAACTATTGAGCCAACCACATTCTTAAATTATTTTAGAGCATTTCAAGCCAAATTCTGCACAGCTTCACAAAGATGGAAACGTGAGTGTCGTCATTTCCAAAGGAAGCTATCAGGAAAGAGGATGTCATCGTGGACAGGTAGATGTTGAGCATATTCCATGTCCACCGAAGTGCAAGAAGGGAAGAAGATGCGAAGACATGAAAGGCTGGGCTGCCGGGCTGTGGAGACAATGGGGTCCTCAGCCTAGGGAACAGGGACCCTGTGGTTAGACCCCCTGAACTTGTACATAAACTTTTATGGGGAAGTGCATTCTCCTGGGGAAATGGTGTGTGAACTTTCATCGTGTTTTCAAGGGATCCTTCTCCATAAAATAGCTCAAAAACTGCTGCTTAGGAAAGGACGTGTCTGCTTGCACAGGTGCTGGGCCAGCAGAAGCTCTGCAGACCAGAAGAGAACGGTGATCTCTAAGTGCTGGAGGCAACAGGGGAGGGTTCACGGAGGATATGGGGTGTCCGTTGGGAGACTCTTTCAGGAGTCTACACTTATAGCCCAAGTCTACCCACATCTCCCCATCTCCATAGCTACCATCTGACCATGAGGCATCATGGCCTCTCGGGGACAACTACGCCAGCCTTCCAGTCCATGCCCCCACCTCCTCTCCTGCATGCTACCGTCTGTTCCCCACAGCAGCCAGAATGACCCTAAACTCTGCTCAGCACCTCTAACAGCACTGGGGACTCAAGAGCTGTGCAATCAGTATTTCTGAAGAAATGAATAAATGCTCAGATGAAGGCCTGCCCTAGAGTGGAAGTACTGGCTATAAAAAGATGGAACAGATGCAAGAGACATCAAGGACGACTGACCTGGCTGACTGGGTGTGGAAGTTCCTATTGAATGTCCCAGCTAAGTGCATTTCTGGAAGGACTGTCTTCTCAGTCCATCCACCACAAGAAGAGAGAACTAAGAATATGACGAAGGCAGTAGGGAGATTCTTTAAAGAGAGGCGACCCCTGGTGTCAACTGCTGCAGAACAGTCAAGGAGAATGCTTGAGAAAGCAGCGTGGCCGGGTTCTCCAGAGAAACAGAACCAATAGTACGTATGCATGCTCGGTATGTATGTCCTATGTGTCCTTTTGTAGTTGTATATAAGGGGACTTATTATAAGGCAGGGTCCACGCACTCGTGGAGGCTGAGCAGTCCCACATCTGCCATGCGGGAGCTGGAGACCTGGAAGAGCCGCTGGTGTAGTTCAAAGCCCAAGAGCCCAGGAGCCAGTGGCATGGGTTCCAGGCCACAGACGAAGGCCCGGGAGCTGAGCCAGCAGCCAGCTGGGTCTCCATGGCCCGTGCGAGAAACGTGGTTTATTCCTTAAACACAGATACCATCAAGGAAAAGTGGGACGGACGTGTTCGGGACACGGCTACACATTTTTAGACTTCACATCACAGATTCTCTCAGATCCGTCATATTTCTTTTGTGTGGGAAGAAAAGCACTCTGAAGCCCTAAAAGGCAGGAAGATTCCCCAGTGTTGACAGAAATGCATGAGCAGAAAACTAAAGCAATGTTCTAAATGCAAGCTCAAAAACAGTTATGAGATCTTGATTTTTTTTCCAAGTTAAATTCCATGAGCTATCATGTTGTTGGGTGTGTTTTTATTTTAAAAATGGAGTTTTTGGCCATGAGAGTTTCTGGACTGGCTTTCACTTCCGAATCTAGAGAAGGGGATTATTGTTCCTCTTTCATCAGTTCAATGAGAAATGATCAGTCTCTTCAAAATCACTGGTCCACCCCTGCCCACCCCCAGGACAGACCCCGAGGGCAGGAGCAGGTAATCTGCAGGCATTGAGTGATCAGGTTGACATTTGAACTTGCACGTTAACAGATATATGCCAAAATGTATATCCTCATTTCTGGAAATGTAACAGTCACGGCTCTATTTGAATTTTTCCACATGTCTACCAATGTGAGATGTCAACCATCCCTCAACAGCCTACTTCAGACACACGTATTTGGCAAAAGAATATTTTCAACAGAACCACCATGCATTTGACACACTCTTTAAGCCAGGCAGGAAAATATCTTAATAGTTAACATTTGAGGAGGCACATAGTTTATCTCTGACCACCCTCCTAATTTCACTAATACCAAGGATAAAATATTTGACCATGAAACCTCTTTTTGCAACATTCCTCTGCATTGTCATCTCTGCATCTCTCAGTATAGCTCATTGACTCTGAGTAAGAAAAGTTAAAAATATTCTGCACGCAGCATTCATCTGCATTGTGTAAGGACAAGTTTCACACCGTCAACCTACTAGAAATGGTCAGTTTCAATAAATCGCCTTTATAAATATGCATAGCCCCCCTTATCTGTGGTTTCACTTTCTAAGGTTTCAGTTACCCACAGTCAAGTGTGGCCCGAAAATATTAAATGAAAAAATTCCAGAAGTAAACAATTCATCAGTTTTAAATTTCGAGGCATTCTGAGTAGCATGATGAAATCTAGAGCCGTCCTGCTCCATCCTGTCCAGGACGTGAATCATCCCTTTGCCCAGCGTAGCCACCATGTATACACCACCTGCCTGTTACTGTGTAGGAAAAAAACATAGTATATGTGGGGTTCGGTACTATCGCAGTTTCGGGCATGCACTGGGTGTCTCAGAGCATATCCTCTGTGGATAAAGCAGACGTACTGTAATCTGCAAATTGAACGGAAAGGCCTCCATCAGCTTATTCTTAATGAACAACTGTTTTGTCCTGAGTGATTTGTAATTGATCGGGCCGTGAAAAGAAGGCAGGGAGCTGATCGGAAAGCAACTGGCCACTCCAGAGAAGCTGTGTGTTGAGCGTCTTAGCAGCACCAAGGACTGAGCAGGCCGGGTCTCACTGCTACTAATTGCGGTGTTTGAGGTGTCCTGGGGAAAGCGAGGCTCAGATGACTGGAGCTATGGAAATGACTCAATTTGCAAAAAAGAAAGGAAAGGTGCTGCAAACGCAGATCATGGAGTGCTGGTGTGGCCACGCGGAGGACAGAGAATACATGGACTCAACTCTCAGGTGGGTCTGGATGTGAGAACCCCTCTCACTTGCTGGTTACTCAGACAGCCAGCAGCATGGAAAGCCATGGGGATATCAGTGGGCCATGAATAAACACTGCACTCCAGTGAGATGGTGTTAGGGGGTGATTAGGTTTCAACATAAGAATTTTGAAGCCTCTGTGGGATGAACAGGCCATGAGCGCGGAGCCTTGTGGCTGGGGCCAGTGACCCTATGGAAGAGGCCCTGGAGGGCTGCCATGGCCCTTCCTCCGCGTGAAGATGTGGCTGAAAGTCCCTGTTTGTGAAGCAGAGAGCAGCCCTCACCAAGCACGGAATCTGCTGACACCGTGATCTAGGACTTGCCAACCTTCAAAACTATAAGAAATACATTTCTGTTGTTTATAAGCCACCCAGTTTACGATGTGTTGTTATAGCAGCCCAAGCTGACCAAGACATTAGGAATAAACGTACAAAACTAATTGAAATCAGTACAATTTCAAGGCAGGAGCAATCTTTCTGCATGGTACATGCATGAAAAAGGCAGGAGGACTCTGTCAACTCTGGGACTCATGGTGTGATGGAAACACCCAGAAGGCCACAGGCCACCTTCATTGTTCCTCAACTGGGAGCCTGACGGGCTAGAACATGCTCATGGGAGATAGACAGCAGGGAGAACAATCTGGAAATCTCCTCTTGAGCAATGGAAGGCTTCAGCTGGAGTAGACTTTGGGCATGAAATGGGTGTGGACTCTGAGGCTCCAGGAACTGGGCCTTGGCTGATAGAAGGGCGACCTCGGTGAATCTGGGACCCTCTCTCTAGCCGCCCACTCGAATCGCCTCCAGTGGTTTTAAGAAAAAAGACCTCCCAATGTCCACGCCCCTTTGGAAGAGATTCTCACTTAATTGGTCTGGGGCAGAGTAGGGTCCTGGGATTGTTTGTTCAGCTCCCCTTTGGGTTAAGTATAAAGAGTTTTCTAACAGTGGAGCGGCCACTCCCCAGTGAGTGTCGGAACACAAGTCACTGTTGGCCTCGGCCTTCCTCACCTCAGCAAGCAGGCCAGAGCAGAAAGGCCAGGTACAACAGGAGGCATGGGGTCTGGGAAGGTGACCCCAGTGCTCATGGGGGCAAATGTATATGATAGTCACGGGGCAGCCCAAGCCCCAGGAGCCACCTGGTAAAAGGTAACTCTGGCAGGCATCGGGGAGACGTCATGTAATGGGGGCCCCAAAGCATGGTCAGCAAGAATCTGGGTGCAGGAGGACCCAGGGACCCCACAGGCAGGCCCTGAAGGCACAGCCTGAAGCTTATAGCTCTAGTACCGAGCAAGCCCACACTTAGTAAGTGCTCAGGAAACGTTTGCAGGTACACAGGGGGGCTCATACATGTTCATTTGTAAAGATCAAGACAAAGTCATAAAGTTAGTAAACAAGCAAAAAAAAAAAACCAAACAAACAAAAATGAAGTTCAGCCACACCAACTAAAGAAATATAAATTTAAAATAAATACCATGTTACACCTATACATCTGGCAAAACTTGTAAATCATAATTATGCTGTGCTGTAACAGACAGGCATCACATATGCATGCAGACAAGGAAAGAGGAGAATGAAGAGTTCATTGAATAAAGGTGATAGTGATGGTGATACGGCTGATTTTTTCCCTTTGATTTTAAAATTTTCTCTGGTGGTGTCATTTGGGCAATTGATAAGCATCAGTTTGTTTTGGGGGGCTTTTTTTGTTTGTTTTTGCAAAATGTGCACTGTGGCCCTGCCATTGGCCAGCAGGAGGGTCCAGAGGGTGGCTTGAAGAAGCTGCTGTCCCCATCTGGGCATCCCTGACACGTGTGCAGAGGGCTGAGTGGGTGGAAGGGCTGGGATGTATCTGGGCTTGGGCTCATTATTGGGACTCTGGACTTGTTGGGTGGCAAGAACACAGGCTTGCCTCGGTCAGCTGGGATGCAACGGGGTTGGGAGCGTGGACAGCTCAAGGCCGAGAAGCCCAGCAGGCACGGCTGGAGGAGGGAGTCCTCAGGAAGAGGTCCCCCGGGGCCAGCTCCTCCTTCTCTGAAGACGATGCAGGCAGCCCGCATCCGCCTCACTCCCAGAGGCCGGTGATTCGGAGAGCCAGTGTGACTGCGGCCGCCTGCCTGCTGAGCAGGGCTGGCCAGTCCGGCTCCTCGGACAGTGCCTCCCTCTGTTCAGAACAGCCTGCAGCCACTTGGCTGAGCCGGGCCTGGTGGGTGTGGTGGTGGAGAAGTTTCCATCAGGAAGGGCAGGCACCACGGCAGAGTGCCGAGGGCACTTGTCTGGCCCCAGCACAGTAAAAGATTCAGAAAAAAACAGGAGAAAAATGACTGTGGGTTTGAGAGAGTGGATTCAATCTTCCTTGTGGAATTTTTCTCTACCAATAATTGTCAAAATGGGCAAAATATAAAATGTTTAAAACAGCAACCAAAGAAAGGGATACATCAAATAAACTTCAAGACTGTTTATCAAAGAAAAATGTATTTAAAAGGGAAAACAAAGTTTCCTCTGTGCTTTGTCCTGTAGTTAAAAAGTGACTGCCACCGCTGTCATCACCGCACAGAAGACTGTGCCGTAATAGTCACGGGAGTGTGTAGCATCTGCTGTTCTATATTAGCAGGATTAGCTCTTTCCAGAACCAGCCTTGCAATGCCCTTCCCCTTGAGAAACTTTATATTTGTTATAGAAATGAAGCTGTACAAACAGACCTATAAATTTTACTTTTACTTGCACGGCTTAAACACCTGTTACATGCAAGGCTCTGTGCCGGTTCTGCATAGGGCTCGACACATTCAGCCAGGTGGAACCCTCTCCAGGAGGGGGTCTCACGGCCCAAGAGAGCAGTTAAGACAGTCACACAAATAGCCAGTCACGTGCACAGAGAAACAGGTGCCAGGAAGTACAAGCAAATCCTGCAGAGCACCGGGCCTTTTTCACCTGGGAGAGCCCAGGACGGCTTCACAGAGGAGGGCACATTTGCCTTGGGCCTAAGAGGAATTTTCCTCCAAAGAAGACGGGAGAAGGCAGTCGTGCTCAGAGAGAAGGTAGGCACCCATTCCCCCACCCAGCCTCCCCCCACCCCGCTGCAGCCAGAGCGGTGTCCCAGCCGGCCGGCCAGTCTGTTCACACCAGGCTCCTGCTGCTGCTGCCTTGCTCTTGAACCAAGTTCAAGCTCTCTGAAGAGCACAGCTCATGGCTCTTCCAAGGCCAGCCCTTCCTCTCTCCCTCCCTCCCCCTCTCCCTCCTCTCCTCCTCCCCCAACCCCCTCCACCTCCCCCGACTCCAGCCTATGTCTGTGCCGCCCCCACACGGTACACCTGGCTACCAAACTGCTTTCAGTCGTCCAGATGAAACAGCCTCCCCCGCTAGACTCCACTCGCGCTGTCCTTCTGCTGCAAACACGTTGCCCCACCACATTCCCCTTCCCTGGAGTCCTCCCCCTCCCCCTCCCCCATCCACCTGTAGGGGCTCCCAGAGGCCAAATACAGTACGATCAAGTATCCAAAACAATAATGGATGGCAACGCATTGACTAAAAAGTAACAAAGATTCATGAGTCCTTAAGTCCTTAGTGATAGAGAGAGAGAGAATATGAGAATATGCCCAACAATAAATCATATTTCTGAGAATACTAATTAGAGTTGTTTTAAATTTCTCTTCTATCCATGAATTATCTCTTTCCTTTGGACATGCTTTTTCCGGCAGTGGTCTTCTTGCTCCTCTTGCAGGCTTTTCTCAATAACTGGGTCTCTTGGTAGCTAAGAGTGGGGCAGTTGCCAACTCTGAGCATTGTGTCCTGGGTGGGACTCTTAGCCAGTGAGTTTGGTGTAACCTGAGTCCTGACAGGTGGGTTAATTGTTCCATAGGCTTTGAGCCTCCTGGCGTTTCTGGGTCCAGGTTCCCTCCCGGGTTCTGTAAGGTGAGGGGCTTCCCTGCTAGCCGCAGCCCCCTGTGTGTTCCATGAGCTGCGGTTTCCAGCCTTCCATGGCACCCACCTCCACACGAAGTGAGAATCCCCAGTCCCCTGGCACCCTGGGCCTCCCCTTGCAGCTCTTGCATCTCTCCTCTCTCGGTCTTCCCGCTCCTCTGAAAGCTCCAGGAGAGCAAGGACATCCCAGTGCCTGCTGCCTGGCAAATACCTGAACGAAGGACTAAACCACCTCCACAAAAGCAAAGCTGAAAGACATGACACAGGCCCGAAGGTGGCCCGGGAGGCCAGCGTGGCTGACACAGATGAGAGTCGGGCACGGACAGGGAGGAGAGCTGGCAAGTGATGAACGAGCTCAGGAGGCTGCAGAGAGCCCCAGAGATGCTTGGGTGGGCTGAGACTCGGCGCTCCCTCGGGCTGGGAGCGCTCTGAGGATGCTCGAGCTCGCACCCGCACGCTGCACGGCGGCTTCTCCTGTGCAGCCGTGACTATGCCGCGGGCGCCGCGCTTCTCAGCACGTGGGCACACGCTGGGGATCGTCTGCATGGCTCCAGACAGACCTCTTTGATTCAGTAGTTGTGTTTTATTCTAGTGTGTGTTAGAAAACCAACAGCCTATCAACTGTGGTTTCACCATAGTATTAGAGAGTTTCCTCTTTAAAGAGCATAAATTATGTTAGTGATAGTCATGCTTCCAAAAACATAAATAAATAAAGAGTATAAATTTAAAAGTGAGTCTACTTAAAGAAACAGTGCTTCTGGTGGTCGGGGATCTCAGATCTGGCAAAATTCTCCATGAGGGATGCAGGGAAGTATCGTGACACAGTGCAGATGTTGGGCGGAAGTGTGTGGCCCTTGTACTCTGACAGGTGTCCTTGGACTGTAGATTCCCTGCCGGATACCAAAGCAAAGAATCAGGCTGGGAGTGGCAATTCTCAGGTTGAACATGTGATTTTTTAATTGAGGGAAAATTCACATAACATAAAGTTAACCATTTTAAAGTGCACAATTCCATGGCAGTTAGTACATTCACACTGTTGTGCAGCCATCACCTGTATGTAGTCCCAGAACGTTTTCATCTCCCCTAACGGAGGCCCTGTCCCCACTCCCCTCTTCCCCACCCCCCACCCCCTGGCAACCACTGATCTGCTTCCGTCCCTGTGGCCCTGTCTGGTTTTCATGCACATAGGGTTGTACAAATAGGGCTGCTCTCAAGGTGCGCGCATGCTACGGCGCGCGTCAGTGCTCCGTTCCTTTCTTTGGGAGAACTAAATATTCCATTGTGTGGATAGACCACATTTTGTTTATCTTCTAGACGATAATGGGTGGATTGAATGTGCACTTTCTCTATTCTTGTTTCATCCAACAAATGTTTGTTAAACACCTGCTGCACACAGGCACAGGTGCCAGGTTTGGGGCCCTACGGGCCGTCCCTGCTGTCAGCGCCCTGTCTGTGTGGTGAGGAATCAGGGGAGGTGGACAGTGGCAGGGGTGAGGGCTGCAGAGGCAGGTTGGAGCCCGGTCTTGGGGGCCGCACATGGAAGGGCTGTGCATAGCCTGCTGAGGGGCTTGACCTTCATCTTGTGGGGGCGGAGCCTCCAGGGAGCTCCAAAGAGACCCCTCTGTGGAGCTTCAAAGGGAGGAGGTCATGAAGCCAGGTCTGCCACGAGCCCCTGCTGGCAGGAAGGGGGTGGCCCTGAGCTGGACACCCTAGGCACAAGGGCCAGAGTAGCGGGACGGGGACTGGGGGGAGGGGGAATGCCAGGAAAGCTTAGAGGGCCAAACAGGTGGGGTTTGGGGCTTGCTTGGCCACGGGGAGTGAAGAATGAGGAGAAAGACGTCAGGATCCAAGGCACAGATGCTGTACAACACCAGGGCATGAAGGCGCACAGTGTTTGGCCGCCACATCCCAGAGCCTGACACTGGAGCCCAGAAAAGGAGGGTCACGTCAGGTGCCAGAGCCATGGGGTGCCCCGGAAGCCACCCGGTGGAGAGATGCTCGCATTATCTCACTGTCTGCTTCCCCTGTAAGCTGCACAGGGAGGATGTGGAACACTTTGGAAACTCGTGGACGTAATGCAGACCAGTGTCATTCCTTTTGCCCTTCCCGAAGGTAGCCATGGCCATGACATTGGTCATCAGAAGCCTGACTATAGATACGCTGCAAACATTGTTGCCTGGAAACATAAGATGAGGGGTTGCAAGGCAGAGCTCTCACTGTTGGGAGCAGGTGGACCCTGGTGGCCCAGGGGTAGAGGGGTGTTGTTCTGGGGCTCAGAGCAGAGCTGTGGCCTGTGCAGGCGGTGGGTGGCACTGCAGTCTCCCATCTTGGTGCACACAGAGTCGGCAGCTGAGGACGACATGGTCAGGCGTCTCTGTCATGGAGAGGCAGGGCGCCCGGGCCAGGCTAGCTAGACCCCAGCTCCAGGAAGGAAGCAGGGCCTCCAGGAAGGAGACAGGACCAAAGCGAGACATGAAGTACCCCAGGGAGGCCACTGAGAAGGGAAAGCCGGCACCAGCAGAAGACACTTCCGTGAACCTGGGCCACCCACACCCTGCTTGGTGGACGGCCCTCCCTGCGCAAACAGCCCAGGGCAAGCTGCCCAGGGGACAGGACCTGGGCCTGAGGGACATAAACCATCATCCTGGTCATCGCAGTGCACGCCTTTTTACTGTCTGGTCTTGGCAGATAAACTGTGCCTGTAATTAACAAAAATATTATTCTGCTTTGGACAGGAAGAAGAAGAGGAGTGGAAGATGTCACCGAGTGTTTTCCTTCACACGATGGAGGAAGGAAATAACTTATACAAAGGTCAGTTAGGAGGACTTGCGTGGTAAGTGAGACGTCACTCTGTCTGCCCACCACATGTGGGGAAGAGTTAGATGCCCCGTCATGAAAGGCCACAAGTATGTAATTGGTGAAAGAGCAAGACACATACAGGATGAGAACATAATCGAAACCTACATCCTCCTTTTGAACCCCTAACACTTCCACTGAACATTCTCAGCTTAGTGACAGGGAGGAAAGTTATTTCCTAGATTGTTTAGATTAAGAAAATTGATACCGTATGTACAGTAAAATGTCTTAATCCTATTAGACTGAGGCATGCGCCTGAATTCTGATACATGCTTCTTTTGTGGGTTGTTCGGCGTAATTAGCATAGCTATAATCTGGCTGGATCTGCAAGCGTGTGAATTGGTCTTTCAGATATTTCCATTATAATTTCCTGGAACTATTATCCAATTCCTTTGGTTCTACGCCACCCTCAGGATAAATCCCAACACAGAATGACCTGCCAAGACGACCCTGGGCCTTAGTGCTATTGTGTAAGTTCCTGACAAATGCAATAAGGATGTGAAGTAGAATGTTTCCCAGTGTCAGTCATTCCTGCCTCCTTTCCAATTCCGGTCTTATCTAGACAGTGCTGGTACTATTCTTGACTTTATATATTTTTAAATTCACTCACAGTTTTCATACCAATAAATTCTCATCCTAAGCAACAATATCAATGTAGTTATAGGTTTGATATGCTAATTATGGAAGATAAAAATGTCTGTGTACCACTGCAAATTCTCTTAGAGACCACTGGTGGCAAGGGTCCCACCATGCACTAGACACTGGACTAGGCCGGGAGCCCAGAGGAAATGATGACTTTGGCAGGATTTGTCAGTTGATTTCACTGGGGAGAAAGGAGGTCAAAGGGGTAAACTAATATTTATCGAGTGCACAAGACGTGCAAGGCGTATTGTTTTCCATGCTCATCCCATTTAATGTTCACAACGACCAGGAGAGGTAGCTGTTGCTCTCCTCGCGTCAGCAGACACTGGTAGAAGGCCCGCCGTCCTCCAAATGTGACAGTTCATCAACTCTGACACAGCAATGCAGAGCAGTTGCTATCAAAATCACCTTCACATTCATTCAACAAACACTGAGTGTCTCCAGTGTGTCAGGTGCAATGCCAGCCTGGATGACACAAGGATGATACCTGCCACCAACAGCTCATGATACACTGGGTGTCACAGCAGCGGATGGGGTGGGGATAGTGGCACAAACTGGGTAGTTTATATAAATTGGGATGACAGCTGGGAGTTACAGTAATCCACGGGCCACAGGCCTGGCTGGGGGCACCCCTGGAACTCAGTGTGTGTCTGCAACAGTAATGCCACTTAAGGCCCTGCTCCGTATGGCATCTTGTGGTCTTTACAGCAACCCTCATTTGCTTCGTATTCTACATATCTGTCATCAGCCTTCAAGATAATTTCCCAGGTTTCAAACATGTCAGGTAACCTACGAGTTCATTTTCTCCTGAAAACCTCCCTCCCGCACCCCTCCCGGTCAGCTCCGATCCTTGGGCCTTTCTTGGCCTTTGCTGACTGCTTGCCACTCCCTTGTTTCGGTGGGGCTCATCCCAAGACATCCCACCACGTACATCTGCGTGTCATCCTGCACTCACGCTTGGGTGACAGTTTCCTGGGCGTTTGGAAGGCATGGCCCCTGCTCCTCTGATAACACCACATGAAGACAGTGAGGGCACAGGAAGAAAGCGGGGAGAGAGCAAAAGGCTGCTCCACATGGCAGCAAGTCAGGAACTCATGCCCGAAACTCACGCATCGTGAAAGCGTATGAGCGTGTTGTGTGCCCACGGGGAGAAGCACACGGAAACCGCTGAGAGCGCTCCTGCGAAGCTAGACCATTCCACACACCCTGGTGGGTGCTGCACTTCCTCTGACACACCGAGACCCTGCACCCACCCTGTCCCGCTGCACTTAGCACGTGGCCGTGAGCCTGTGTTCACGGTGTTTCCCGCCGGGACGCCCAGACCCCGAGGGCAGGCCTTTCCATCGTTTCACTCCGAGAGCAGTGCCTGGCCGTCAAAATTGAATAACTGAATTCATTCCATGTATTTTTAATGAATGAATCAATTTAGGAAACGATGCCATTGGGCAATCTAACTGGCAGGTAGACAGGTGGAACAGTTTTTTTATTATAATCCTTTTCATACTCTGTATAAAATGATGTGTATTATTTCGATAAAAGCAAAAATGAATTTGGGGAAAATCTAATGTTCCCATGGGAAGCCAAGGCTTGCAACCCACTAACCCACCCAAAAGCTCTTAAAACTATCCACACCTTTTATGTAATATCGGTTTCCATGAAGGCTGAAAACCCAAGCAGCGTCCCTCCAGAGCAGCCAACCTGAAGTGTCATTCTGCTAGTTGGAGGTTGTGGCACTGGGTGTGTTATCTGCCAGGTCCTTGGTAACTTAAAGAAATGAAATGTCTTCGTCTTAGAATTCTTTTCTTAAAAATCAAAGGTTTTCCTTTTCAAATAAAACATTAGCATTTTAATCACTAAGATTATCCCGCCCCCCGCCCCTTTCTTCACCCCCCCACGTGTGAAACTGCCTCGGCCTCGCTTTTCACAATCTCAGGATAAAAGCTCTTTCTCCGCTCTAGGAGAGAGTGGGGCAGTTGTTGCCCTTTGAGGGCCATGAATAGCTTCCTGCATTTATAAACGTCCATGAAATTCTTGAAGGGATTGAAAAGTGCCCTGCGCAAAAGTGTCATGAGAAAAGCAAAGTTTCGGTGGAAAACTCAATCCGTTTAAACCATCTACGGGGGACACGCGCAAAGCTGCTCCCAGTGTTTCATTTTGAAATACAGTCACAGCCCCGGAATGAGAATCCAGCCCACCACTGTCTCTACGCGCACAGCCGCGTCGTGGCTTCCTTTCTGTTAAATACTCGGCATTCCTTTTTTTATGAAATTCTTTGTTTCTCGAATTTAGTGAATCTATCTAGTGAAAAAAAAAGAAAAGTAGCATTCTGAAGTAACAAAGCTATTTTGTTTAAAATATCTTAATGTAACAGGTAAGTGTTGTTGAAGATTTAATAATCCTACAAGGGGGAACTCTGCAAAGAGTTATTAGTAAATAGTACATTATAACACATCTGAACCTCTTTTCTCAAGGGGGAAAGCTTAAAGTTTTAAACACATAAAAAGAATCATTTATTACCTTTCTTACATTTTATTTCTACATGTTATTCCTACATTTTGAAGTTTTCCAGTTTAAGCTTAGGTACATTTCAGAAAATGTACTAAAAAAGAGCAATTATCTTCAAATGAGGAAATCATAAAGTAACTGAGCGCCCGGTGTACACACATCATACAAGCTAACCACGAAATCCACCTTCTGTGGGGGTTCAGGGCAAAGAAAGAACTTCCAGATATGAGTGGCTTACGGTATTTTTCAATCAGCCGGATGACATAGACGATCTGCGTGATGCATGTGTTCTATGTGTTCTGTGCCCTGGCTCTCAGGCCCGCACCCGCCAGGAGGGTTATGTGACAGGAGAGGAACCCATCCGGGCTCTCCAGCCAGCTCTGGTGTGCCCACTCCAGCCTGCCAGCCTTCTTCAGTTCCTCTCCCCTTCTGTCCTCACACCTCAGTTCTGGCTGGTCGCCTGGACTTAGACTCACCTCCGCGGCTGCCCTCCGACTGATTTCCAGGGGGCACGATCCGTGCCCTCTCCCCACCCCCAGCATCCGCCCTGTGCTCTGTGCCCCAATCCCCGGGCCACCTCTCATGTGGCCTCCGTGTCTGGGGAAGGACACATAAGTGCATTGATTCTATGAAAACTTTACCACCCTTGTGATTTATTTGTTGTCTCTTTCTTACAAGTCCACATTAAGCATTCTAGATGAAATTTGGGTCCTCTCAGCACCATCATTTTCAAAAACCTGCTTGCCCAACCTTGCATCACGGTGGGCTGAGCCTTCATGTCTTTGTGGCAGAGGCTGAGGTCAGCGCTGCCCAGAGCACAGCTCGTTTGGACGCGCGGGAATCCGGGCAGGCTCTGCTCTGGCCGACACCTGCTGAGCCAAGCTGCCCACAGCCCATCCAGGCAGGAGCATGGGCCCGCTTCCCCTGTGAGTGGCGGACAGCCATTTCTGCGCAGAAACCCCATGCTAAACACCGGTGTCAGCATCTGCAGCTGGTGGAGCCGACCCACACTTTTTGAAAACTGGAATTGCATTTCCATGTCCCATCTTCCTGCAGTTGTCCTGTTCCTCAGGGTCCTTGCTGACCACTCTAAGATGGACAGTCACTGGCCCCCTAGGGCCCACAGATTCCTCTTTGCTGACACATGTCTGCTTTAGCACAGCTGTTTCCAGTGCAGCAGCCAACCTGCTGGTTCCTCTGCTCCAGGGAGGTAGATTGTCAGTAAGGCAAGCTGAGACCCTGTGAGACGCTGCTCTGGGGGATGGCGGCAACTATTTGGGCTAAACTGGAAACTTTACATGTTTTATTCCACTTACCCCCTCCCTAGCAGTATGAGGAAGGGGGTGTTTTTATTACTTGGAAAAGGAAACAGGTTCAGCAAGGCTGTCACCTGCTAAGGTCAACAGCTGGTAGGTGGTAGGACAGGGGTTCCACCTGATCCCAGGCTGTAGCCCTGGCACCGGCTGCGCTGCCCAGGCAGGTGTCGGGTGGCCAAAGCCCTCAGGACGACAGTCTTGCCCATTTGCCAGCTCTGAGCTGTGTATCACAATCTTGTCACCATCTTCCTGTCTCTCCCTGGAGTCTGGCTTTTCCCGGCTCACATCGCATCTCGTCCCTCCTTTCTCGCTGGTTTGCCCACGGGATTCTCCAGGGCCCTTCTCTGCTCTCGGTCTTCCCATTCGATTACCCTGGTTCTCGGTCGCAGCCAGACTCCTGCTTCTGTCTCACTGTGACTTTCGAGTGTGAGCACTGCCCTCTCCTTCCCCAGCCACTCGCATCGGCCTCGGGGCCCCCGTGCTGTGCTCGTGGGGGAACCTCCGTCCATCCATTCATGACGCCACCTGCCGTGGAGGCCCCACAGACTCTTCTTCCTCCCAAGTTGTAGCCACTGTCTGGCAGGGGTTGGGTCACTTCTGCCTCTGCCTCGGGGCCCTCAGGTGCCTTCCCAAGTTGGAGGTCACCACAGCACGAGGTGAGTTCCCAGTGAAATGTCCAGACTGGGTGGCGGTTGTCAGTTTGGTGAGTTCCAGCAAATTCCCTTCACATTCTGAAAATAGATTCCAGGAAGAGACCCCATTTCCCAAGCTGGGAAGTCTCGTCTTCCCATGGGAGATCATGCCCAAGCCCCGCTGCAAGGACCCCATTGTTCCAAACCTCAGCATACATGTGGAATTCCCGTCTGGGAAATGAGCTCTATCTCAGTTTATTTTAGTGATAGGAAATTATTCTTATTTTCTCCAAGGTCAGCTTTCTCTAGGTCCATCCTCCTAACCACCAAGATAAGACAAAAGGGAAATTTAAAATACACAATTGCAAAAACATCCAAAAAGTAATTCAAAAATATAGCTGTTGAATTAGGGGAAAGTCATGGATATTTGTGTATTTAGTTTTGTCTGTTTTATAACAGGGGACGAGGGTAAATTATTGGAGAGAGTTCAACATGGCAAAAAATCTTTCATACTTTTAACAAATCATTTGAATAATAAAAGTAATATAAAACATATTACAAAAAGAGTAACCTATAATTCTAAAATCCCACTATTAACATGTTGTTTTTATATGGCTATAATAATAGAGTAGGATACTATTTGCATAACAATTTTTTGCTTGATATTTTCACATTAGCAATTTTCTTTTTTAAGATATTATACAAGTACATATATGAATCTCATCACTTATTTTATTCAAATTTTCATTCTATGCAATAAGATATAAAGTTAGACTCATGTTTATATTGCAATAACTGCTTTCATTAACCTACATGTTGAAAAAGTTTTTTCATTTTCTTTTTCTTTATCCTTCTGGAGTATAGACAGGTGGATGAATAAAGATGAATCTTGGAATTTCCCTCAAGACTATGATCCAGAACTGATCAAAGAGGAGAAATGGAAAGAATTAGAGTTGGAGCTAAGGGTGCAGGTATAGCTGCATTTCTGTTGTAGTAATGACACGTCACCTACTGCAGTGATTGTGCTTCTTTACAATTTCCTATTAATGACCTATCTCATGATTTCACATAGAAAACGCAGGGCATGCAAAGTTGCCTAAAAGGAGTATGTTTTGTATTTACCTAGGTTGATGAGCTGATGAGGCAAGAACTAAAAAACTTGAAACTAGCTGTGAACAGAGAAAAGGAATACCCAGTCAAACCAAGAAAGAATAAAGAGAAGGTGAGTAGTGAATGACTGTAGGGAGGGGGTAGGTTCAGTCATGACAAGGAGCCCCTGCCCATGCAGTGGCATGTCCAGGAGGGCTGCCTGTGGACGCCTCACAGAGAAACACACCTTCCTTTGGTAAATTTACTTGGTCCACCATTTAGCCCGCAGGGTGTGGCCTCATAAATGGGACAGATCCAACCATCTGAGAGTGTCCTCTTCGAACTTCCCTCGGCCACAGATTCTTATCACCCAAGCCCCACGGGTAGGACAAGAACTATCAAAGAAGCCAGAGCACATGCCCCTCATCTCATGCTGGGGGTGGTCTACAGGGGGCCGTGGCAATGAGCAGGTTCCGTACAGGGATCATAGAGAAAGGAATCGGATGAATTGAATCGTAAGTTGCCACCAAGCTATCTCACAGTGGTTTATTTTTTCTTAGAGGTGTTGGGAATGATGGTTTGGTTTTATTTTACTTTATTTTTATTTCAATAGAATTAGAGGGTGCAGGTGGAGTTTTGTTACATGGATACGTTGTGTAGTGGTGAAGTCCGGGCTTTTAGTGTTCCCATCACCCAAATAGTGTACATTGTACCCTTTTCATCCCTCACTCCCCACCCTCCCTCCTTCCAAGTCTCCAGCATCTATCATGTCACTCTGTGTGACCATGCATACCTGTGGCTTAGCTCCCACTTGTAAGTGAGAACCTGCAGTCTTTGGCTTTTTGTTCCTGCGTTACTTCACTTAGGATAATGGCCGCTAGTTCCATCCTCAAAATGGGTTCAGAGCATTCAAAGTTCAGAGCATTCCAAGTTCATTTACCCGGGCCCCTACCTCTGCCTCCATCCTAGAGACAGCCTTGCTTGCCATCCGGGCCAACATATCCAAGGTAGAGAGCTAAGGCTGCTTCTCACAGGGAGTCTTTGTTCTGTGACAGCTTTCTCTAAGTTCCACGGCTGATCCACTTTTCCTGTGATTCACACATTCAGCTGCATTGGTGTCTAGTTTTCTCAGCTCAAGGGCCGTATGGTCTCTTTAGGATGACTCTACCTTGATCTGTTTTGTACTGATGTGGTTTAACTCTGAAGGCAACTGAATTTCCCTCATAGCTCTGTTCTGAAGGTCCATCATTGTAGTCCGATAACACTGATTTAACAACCAACAATCATCTACAGATGAAAGCACCTTCACAAGAGCTCTGGAGTCCAAGAGAGGGGGTGCAGCACCCAGTTGGAGCACAGAAACATTTTGAAAGATGCACCAAAGAGACTAAAAGGAAAAGTTTCACTTTGTCTATGTCACTCCTCCCCAAAGCCCACACATCTCCCAGGCCTACTAGTTCTCCCTTGCAGGAAAGGGACAGAGAAGTGAGCATCTGACTTCACCACTGACCCCACCACCAGACCACTCTCCTGCAGACCCTAGCACTACAGGCATCTTACAAACCCTGACACGAGGCAGGTCCTTGGACCCCAGCATCAGAAAGGAATCAAAGTATATCACTGCAAAAAAATCATCAAATTACAAAGGAAGACAATGAGAGAAGAACAAAAGAACCACAAAACAGAAAAAAAAATTGATAGGTCCTTACCTATCAATAATTACTTCAAATGTAAATGAATTAAACTCACCAATCAAAAGATATAGAATGGCTGAATGGATTAAAAGAAAACAAGATCCAACTATATGCCATCTACAAGTGATTCACATTAGATTTAAGGACACATATAGGTTGAAAGAGAGGGGATGGAAAAAGATATTTCATGCAAATGGTAACCAAAAGAGAGCAGAGGTGGCTATACTTAGACAAAACAGTCAAGTCAGAACCTGTCAGAAGAGACCAAAAAGATCATTACATAATGATAAAAGGGTCAATTCAATAGGAAGAGATAACAATTATATATGCACACTTCATCAAAGCATCTAAATATATAAAGTGAATATTAACATATCTGAAGGGAGGAACAGCAATACAATAATAGTAGGTGCCTTCAATATCCTACTTCTATAAAGGATGTACCACCCAGACAGAAAATCAGTAGGGAGACACAGCAGACTTGAATACCTCTGTAGACCAATGGTCCTAACGGTTATTCTACCCAGCAGCAGCAGAGTACACGTTGTTCTCAGGTACACATAGAACATTCTCCAGGATGCTCTCCACATGCTGGGTCACAAAGCAAGTCTTGATAAGTTTAAGAAGATTGAAAACATTCCAGATAACCTCCAACCACAGTGAGATGAAACTAGGAATCAGTAAAAAAGGAATATGGAAAATTCACAAATACGTGGAAATTAAATGACACACTCTGAACCATCGGGTCAAGGAAGCAATCTAAAGGAGAATTAGAAAATATCTCAAAACAAAAATGACAACAAAACATACCAAACTTTATAGCAAGAGCAGTACTAAAAGGGAAGGTTACATAAATGCCTACATTAGAAAAGAAGAAAGATCTCAAATAAACAACCTAACATACTTCAAGGAACCAGAAGAAGAGGGGAACAGTAAACCCAAAGCCAGGACAAGGAAGGAAATAATAAAGATAAGAGCAGAAATAAATGAAATAGAGAATTTTAAAAATTGATGAAACTAAGAATTGTTTTTCTGAAAAGATTTTAAAAATTGGCAAACTTTATGCTAGACTAAGAAAAAAAGAGAGAAAGCTCAAATAAATAAATTCGGCAGTGGAAGAGAAGACATTATAATCAATGTCACAAAAATTAAAAGGATAACAAAAACTATTATCAACAATTATACACTAAATGGACAACCTAGAAGAAATAGATAAATTTCTAGAAACATACAACCTACCAAGACTGAATCAAGAAGAAACAGAAAGTTTCAACAAACCAATAACAAATAAAGAGATTAAATCAGTAATCAAAAATCTTCTTGGAATCTGGGAACACCAAAGGACATTAGGGAAAAATCAGTGGAAACCTAATAAACTGTGCATTTTCATTGATAATATTGTGCCAAGGTTGGTTCCTTAGTTGTGATAAAGGTACCATAGTAACGTAAGATGTTAATAGGAAAAGCTATGTGAGGGGTATACAGGACCTCTGTGTACTATATTTGTAACTTTTCTGCAAATATAAAACTATTGTAAAATTAAAGTTTTCATTTGCAGATGACATGATTGTCTATGTAGAAAATCCCAAGGAATTTACAAAGAAAGTTCTAAACAATAAGTGAGCTCAGCAAGTTTGCAGGATACAGGATAAACCTGTGTTTCTAAATAGCAGCAATGGACACGTGGACGTCAAAATTAAATATAACGTCATTTTAAATCACTCAAAAAATGTAGGTGTAAATCTAACAAAACAGGTACAAGGCTTATGTGTTAAAACTACACAAAGCTGATGAAAGAAATCAAAGAGTAGATAATTAGACTGACATACCATGCACACGTACTCAACAAACCAATAACAAAGAGATTAAATAAAGAGAAGTTGAGTCTTCTCAACATAAACGTCAACATAGTAAAAATGTCAATTCTCTCCATATCAATATATAGGTTTAATGCAATTCTATCAAAATCCCAGAAATATAATTTGCATACATAGATGAGATTATTCTAAAATTTATATGGAGAGACAAAGGAACTAGAATAACTAAAGCCATTTTGGAAAAGGAATAAAGTGAGAAGGATCACTTCACCCAGTTTTATGGCTTATCGTATAGCGACAGCGACCATGGCTGTGAGCTCTTGGTAGCGGGATAGACAGACACGTGGAACAACAGAACAGGACAGAGAACGCAGAGCAGCCCGCCCAGGTGTGCCTGGCTGATTTTGACAAAGGTGCAAAAGTGCTTCAAAGGGGGAAAGACACCCCCTTGGATAAACGGTGCCGGAGCAACTGGACATGCATAAGCAAAAAGAAATGAACCTAAGTCTCGCACATTGTCCAAAAATTAATTCAAAATAGGTCACAGACTTTGCTTTTAGAAAAAAATATAGAAGATGTTTGGAATCTAAGGCTAGACAAAGGGTTCTTAGAATTAGTACCAAAAGCACAATTCATAAAAGGAAATATTGGACTTCATCAAAATTGAAATTTTTGCTCTGTGAAAGACGCTGTTAAGAGGATAAAAGGACAAGCTACGGACTGAGAGGAAACATTTGCAAACCCCATATCTGACAAAGAGCTAGTATTCAGAACATACAAAGAACCTCAAAACTCAAAAGCTAAAAAACAAGCAACCCAGCGAGAGAGTGGCTGAAAGACAGGAAGAGATATTTCACTGAAGGGGACGCAGAGACGGCAATTAGCACGTGAACAGATGCTCAGCACCACCGGCCACCAGGGAGATGCACGCGGAAGCGTGATGACAGCACTCCCCCTGTTATCGTGGCTGGGATAAACACCGGTGACAAACCGAGTGCTGGGGAGGCGGGAGAAACTAGGCCACTCGCACGCTGTTGGTGGGCGTGGGAAGCGGCACAGCCACCGCGCATCACAGTGGGGCCGCTGTTTTAAAAAACCAACCGTGCACGTCCGGCACGGCCCGGTCATTGCACTCACGACATTCATGCCAGAGAAACGAAGACTCATGTTCGCTGCAGTGAAGTCTTAAAATCTTACGTCGCCTCAGCATCCGCGCTGAGTATAAGTTTAACTTTCTCATACTGGAAGCCGGGCTTAGTCACCCCGTCCCAGACCCCAGTTCTCCACCTCCTCAGCATCATTGGCCCAGATGGCAACCGCCTCCTGGCACCCACCGCCCTGTGGGACAGCTAGATACAGCCTCCTCGACTGGCCCTGCTGACCCCCACATCCCACACAGACAGCACAAATACGCCACAGTGACACCCATGTGTCACAGCATGATGCCACGGAACTCACGCCTGCTTGCTGAAAACCCCCCAGTTAGAACTCCCTGCGGGAAAGTAAGTTACCCAGGTCACTCCCTAGACCCCAGTAAAGGCCTCAGTCCATAGGTCCCACGCTTAGTGTGTCCCGGATGGAGCCCCACACACCACCCCCCGCGTTGGCCCTGCGAGGGGGCTGCCCTCTTCTCTCTGGGATCTGTAAGTACTAAAAACTGCATCTGTTACTCCGTGTGTTCTGCTGTGCTGCCCGCTCTGTGTCTCGCCCAGCCAGCACGCCAACCTACCTCTCCTCCTGCCAGGGCTCTCCTAGGGAGTGGCTGTTTTGGTAGGAATAAACCGGACACAGGTCAGACCGGAGCCACAAGGGTGTCTGCCACTATAAACAGGAGTCCTGTGAGAGAAACATCTGGTGACGGGGCAGGCACTCGGGCGTCGGGCCGTCCACCAGGGTAAAGAAGTGTCCCATAAAAGGCACACTGAACACCCACTCCCCGAGCCCCGTGAGGGCAGGGCTGGGATCTATAACCACTCTTCAGAGAGAGGCCTCAGGGCCGAATTAGAGAAAAATTCAACATTCACACACACACACACACACACACACACACACACGTACATGCACGCACATGCACTTAGAGCTGCTTACTTAATTCATAACAGCCTGAAACTGGACACAGCAATAAGAAGGAACGAGCTATTGATACACACAATGAGCTGAGTGAGTTTCTGGAGAATTATGCGAAAAGCCGGTCCCCAAAGGCCACACGCTGAGCTTCTGTTTACGCAGCATTCTTGGAAGGACACAATTACAGAAATGGAGAACAGATTGGTGGTTTCCAGGGATAAAGACGGACGGGTGGTCTGGGAGGGAAGCGGCTGTCACTATAAAAGGGTGACACGAGGGTCCTTGTGGTGGTGGAGACGTTCTGTGCTTTGACCACGTCCACGTCGACGTCCTGGCTGTGATACTGCGAGACAGCTCTGCGAGGCGAGGCCGCGGGGAGAAACCTGGCGGAGGCACACGCCGTATCTCTGTGCTGTTTCTTACAACTGCATGTGAATCTGCCATTATCTCAAAATGGAAAATCAAGTTTTAAAAAACTGGAAAACATGAATGAAGTTTGGCTATATGCAGCCGTAGGAGTGCGTCTTGCAGTCCCAATATTGTTCGAAAGAAGCCAGACATAAAAGAGTTTATGTATCAACAGTGTGATTCCACTTACAGGAACAGTGTCGCCTACAGATGGGAAGCAACATGAGAGGGAGCTCAGGGGGCAGAAATATGTTCTGTATTTTGAACTGGGTGGTGGTTATGTGGTTATCTATAGAAACTAAATGTAAAAGCCAATCAGCCTGCGAATGGGCGCGCACTACATAAATTACACTGCCATGAAAAGGACTGAACGAATGAGGAGACGGGCGTGGAGGATGAGCGAGAGTGAGTGAGAAGGCGCGAGATGTGCATAGTGCGTGGGGAGTGCGGGTCACCTGAGGGGCCAGAGGTAGGAGGTGACACAGAACAGGAAGAAGGACCTGTCTGGAATTCGGCCCTGCGCAGGTTACGCAGCGGAGACGTCACCTTCCGTCCACACAGGGACGTGTCCACGTAAGCAGCTTGGGATTTTTCCAGGCCAAACCCTACGCCCATGAAAACACCGCGGCTCCGTGTTCGACTTGTCACTAACTTTTCACTTCCCGCCGCCTCCAGAAACAGTTTGCTTAGCTCATTTCTGGGCTTATTTGCTTGCTTGTTTTCACTAAATTGCTGGTTGTTTCCTTTTTTTTTTTTTTTTTCTGTTTCAGAAAAATAAAGGGAAGAAAGGCAAAAGAGGGAAAAAGGACAAAGACCTGACAGCTGACAGGTGAGGACCGGCTCGCGCTGTTGCAGGGCACGTGGACGGGCGCAGCCCAGAGCGGGGCGCAGGAAGCCCTGAGACCGGCCTCAGCGCTGGCGGTGCCTGGGCGGGCACCCGCTGCCATACCGCAGCCTCCTGTCCCTCGCAGAGTGTCGTGGGAGTGGTAGGCGCCGCCGCGAGTCCTGCGCGAATCCCAGGTTGGAGAGGTGCCTGGTGGGCTCGGAGGGAAACGCAGGTCCTCACCACATCTGAGCTCATGTAACGCTTTAGGCTTTAAAATTCACTGGGGCCGGGGGAAGTTCTTAAAAAATTGTTTAAGAAATAACACCCTGATGAAACTTGTGAGGAAATGCCTAGATTCTGCGTTCCCTCGGGCAGAGACGTGTCCTGTCCCCCTGCACAGCGCTGGCCCAGCCAGGAGGCGCTTCATCCTGCTCATTGTAGGGACGAGTTCATTGGATGAGGCCGAGCCTTGTAAAGGGAGTTCCCACTTCCTTGAGCTTCACTGGCCCAGCTTCTACACAGGACTAACAAATAACTCTAAATGCTCATTTTTTATGTTGAAATGGCCTTTAAGTGCTTAAACATTGAAAATACATAGTACCTGCATTTTCAAATATTATTAAGGAATTTAATTAAAATCTCTGATAAATAGATGTCAGACATAACTTTGAACATATCCCTTTCTTCTCTTGGGTTTTGTTAATGGGCCAACACCTGATGCTCCTATATTTAGGGGTGTTCTCTAGCTCTCCCTTGGATCCAGCATTATTCTTCCCAAAGTCTGCTAGACAGAGACGCATGAGACAGGAAGCCCAGCTCAGAACTGTCTAGAGGGGCAGAGAAGACCAGGTTAGCCCAGAAGCCAGCACGTGTGTCTGCAGACACCTCCAGTGAGACCGGGGCCCTCAGAGCCAGCACGCGTGCACGGAGCCCTGGCACGCAGCCTCTGGAAAAGCAACTGGAGCAGGTGTAGGCTCTTCAGAGAAACAGCTCCCACAAGGTACCCCTAAAAGGAGGGGCCGCAGGTTTCCCCATTTGAGGCTCCATTGTTTGGGCAATGGCTCAGGCCAAGATGCCGCGGCCAACTGCTTCCTAAGAGGCCTGGTCAGCACTGAGACTCGGGCGCCCCAGTTCCTGGGGAGGCACACGTCTCCACGCACCAGCACTGACACCTCGGGGGCAGCGACTGGGGTTAGAGGGAGCATCGTAGTCCCATCCCGCGAGGAGGGTCCAGCCCACACCTATACACAGTGCCACCGGTGTCTCTCAGTGGCTTTCAGTTGCCACTTTTCTCCTTTGTTCTCACATTAGTCCCAAAACAGGTGAAGTCTTTCAAGTGGAGATCAGGTTAAGTGCCTTATCCAATGACAAACCAAGAGCGGAAATCAAATCTCCCAATATGACCCCACCACTAACTTAAAATTATTCACTCACATTCTCTTGCACGTGAAGTATCGCTTTACTGAATAAAATGTTGCTTTCAAATGTAGACCACACACATGTGCCTCATGGCCAGTGCCTGTTAGACATCGAGAATGTTCTTGGCTTGTGCCCCTTTACAGCCGAAACATCGTAAGTGAGCTGGGAATAATTCTCCAGTGAAATGCAGAATGACTGTTATTTGATTCATTTTTATGCCCAGAAATACAGATATATCTGCTCATCGAACTCCTGAAAGACTTTTCATGTTAATTTTAAAGACCCTGTGTCACTAGAGTAGGATTAGTTCTGCCATGATCTGTAAGACAACTTCTGTTTCTCTCACTAAATTAATATAACCCTTAAGACAGTATTTTTTATCCTAGTTTAAAGTAGTTTTAAGGTTGAAAATGTTTTATTCCATAACAAAAGATCATTTCACTGGAAAAATCCAAATATAGGTTTGTGTTTAGGCCTTCTCAATATATTTTGTTTTGATTATGTTAGAGAATCTTCTTTCATTTTAAGTTAATATTTTATGCCTATGGTATTTATATTAAATAAGTATTCAAGTTAAAATACTAAATTGGTACTTCCTTGATATAGGTCAGATACTCTTATCCCAAATTTCATCACAATTAAACCTTTCTTAGGCCAGGCATGGTGGCTCATGCCTGTGATCCTAGCACTTTGGGAGGCCAAGGCAGGAGGATCCCTGGAGGCCAGGAGTTCAAGACCAGCCTGAGCAAGAGCAAGACCCCATCTCTACAAAAAATAGAAAAAATTACTGGGCGTAGTGGTGTGTGCCTGTAGTCCCAGCTAGTCGGGTGACTGAGGCAGGAGAATCACTTGAGCCCAAGAGTCTGAGGTTAGAGTGAGCTCTGATGACACCTCTGCCCTCTATCCTGGGCGACAGAGCAAGACCCTGTCTAAAAAAAAAAAATTAAACCTTCGTTATTTTTATCAGAGGGCATACTATTTTAAATACATTTGCTGGAATACAGTTCAGTCAACCAAAGACTGAGGTCATTGGATTAACATTTATCCTAGTAGTATTTGGCTTGAGTCTAAATGATATTCTTGGGTCTCTTTTAATCACACTAACTTGAATCATAGTACAGTTGAAGAACTGTCTACATATGGGTGTATTTACAATTCTCAACATAAAGAAAGACGAGGGAGGATGGAAGAATAAAGAAAAGGAAGAGACAAAACATCTCAAAGGATCATATTGAATAATATTTGGGCTTAACCCATCTGAATTCCTACAAGCCAAACCCCAGCTAATATCATTGGGAGTTTCATCCATTATGTGGGATACTATATCCATTTCTTCTTGGTTAGTATAAATTACCAGTGTGCAGACTATATGCCCAAGGTCCTCTTAGAGAAGTGGTTTTGACATCTGTAAACACTGCAGGAAAGTATAACACCCTCCTAAAAAATCATCACACTCATTACTTGAGACATTTTATCTTCCATGTAAGAATTATCTCCAGTATAAGCCTTTGTTCTTTGTAGATATTTCTTTTAAACTATTATGCTATTGAGTTAACAGGAAACATAAATTTCACAAAGGATTAATGATCTACTACAGCTTGCAGATGCTAACTGCATATATAATTATAGGCCCATTGCATTACTATTATTCGGTAATTTCTAATTCATATTTGTGCCATCAGGAAGACTGATGGAAGGGCAGACTGCAGGAGTTATAGCTGGTCTCAGATGCCCAGAGATATCATTCTTATTAATGGGAAACATCAGATATGCACATGGATGAGTGAAAGTATTGTTTTTAAAAAGCCTAATTTATCCCCAAATTGTGGAAACACTTCAAAATTCCGTGTATTTGCGTATATACAAACGTACTTTGAAACAGATCTGATTTGTTCTCTGCATACGTGATGATTAATAGCGATACCGCTGATTTTATGTGTGTGCTCCTGGAACCGACAGTCTGCTTTCCCCCAGGACCATCGAGTCTCTGTACAAGGAACTGGTGGAAGAGGGATTACTGATCCAGGCTCTGAAAGTCAACCTCTCTGATTACATCGGTAAAGTATACGAAGAATAATGCATATACATGTCACATGTCACCCCTTGTGTTTTGAGTTCCCAATAGCTGGAAATATTTCATTGTGTTTTTGTCCGAGCCAAAGCCTGGCCCATGGTGGCTTCTGGAAAATGTTTGTCTGATTGAATTGATTTGAATAACCTAAGTGGATGCTGTGAACTAATAGGTTCTCTGAATAAAATGGGCCCAGCCCTCTCGCCTAACGTGGTAAGAAGCAGGATTTTAACCTGCTAGCAAGGTTCTGTGGGCATGCTTTCTGGCATTACCTGGCTTAAGGACATGAGGAATTGTTTACGCGTTCATGCGTGAACAGAGCACCCTCAGAGGGCAGCACCTGCTGCCTCCGCAGTAAACAATCCTTGCAGAGGATTCCTTCCACGAGAGACAGCAGTGGTTGGGAGGAAGGAGGTGGGGATGTTTGTTATCACATCATCAACTAAGTTTTTCTCTTAATTTTTATAAAAACTATATGATGACCTGAAAACACATAGCTCAAAATTCCTTGTTACTCGACCCCCACCAGTGTCACTTTTATGAAGACAACATCTCCAATGACTGAGGACATGCTCCTGCATAACCACAAAGGGACGGTCACACTCAGGAAATTTAACATGAGCGCAATACTCGTATCTAATGCATAGTTGATATTCAGTTTCCCCAACAGTCCTGAAATGCCCTTTGTGACTGTTTGTCCTCCTTGATCCAAAATCCAGTCGAGGGTCACGTGTGCATTGTCACACCTTTTTAGTCTCCTTAATGCCTTTCATCTAGAACAGTTGCCCACCTGTTCGAAGTCTTCACAACATGGACATTTTTGAAGAAGCTGAGCTGTTTTACAGGCTGTCCCTCAACTGGATTTGTTTGACAGTTTCCTCATTGCTTGATTCAGGTCAGACATTTTTGCCAGGAAGTCTACACAGGTGACGTTGTGTGTTCTTCTCAGTGTTCCCCATCGGGGCACGTTGTGCCACCTCATCCCATCACTGATCTGGTGGCGAAGGTATAGTCCCCAGATGTCTCCACTGTGAAGCTTCGTCTTTCCCTTTATAATTAATTACTGGATAATCTAAGGTTATAATTAGTGGATAATCTAAGGTTATAATTAATGGATAATCTAAGGGGTGACACTTTGAGGCCATGGAGTTCCTGCTCCCAGCAGTCTTTCTCACGGGTTTTAGCAGCCACTGGTGACGTTTGCCTGCGTCAATTATTGCCGTAGCAGCTGTAAAATGGTATTTTCTCCATCGTTCCTTCTATGTTTAATAGATACCAATCTTCTGTAAGGAAGTGTGGAATCTTTTAACATTGTCGTGGTATCAGGACTGTGGAAACATGGATTCTCCTCTTATTGGATGTATTATAATCTGTCCCTGTCATTATTCCTCCTGATGTTTACATTGACCCAGTCTTTGCCCATGAGAGCAAGGAGGCTGACTTGTTCCTTTGATCCAAGGATGATTGTTTTGATCCCTTTGAAAGACAGCCTGTTTTCTTCTTGAGAGCTTGGAGGAGCCTTCACATTTCCTAACAGAATAAGAATTTTACCAGAAGATAGATTGGGATATGTATTGGATTTCTATTTATTTTATTTTATATGTTTCTTTTTCAAATGCTAGAGAGTTTTCTCCTGTATTCCCTTGATTCTGTCAGTTAATTCTGTTAATGTTTGTAAAATAACCATTTCTAGCAGAACCATCTCTTATTTGTGGCTTGCATTTCTGAACCAAAGACCCTCATGCTAAGTACCATGTCTGGCTCATGGTGGATTCTCATTACCTATTTTTGGGCTGATTTCTTAACTTAGTAATTTCTTATCCTTTCAGGACTTTTCCAGTGATCTGCCGTGCCTAAGGTCAAAGTAGATGGGCTCAGCCACTCAAGAGTGACTCTAAGTGTAAATGACCCAATCTACCACAGTTAATCAAATTTCCCCAGGCTGGCATAGTTTGACCTTGTCCATATTTTCCTTAGTTTTCTCCAGTTAAGATCCTTAGCTTGAACAATGGCAGCATACCTTCACCAAATCCCCACATAAAAAATAGAGCAACTAGGTAGCAACAGCAAAAGCCCACAGGCAACACTTAATGACACCAAAACTAAGTGACAAGTTTTCCCTCTCGAGCCCAAAAGTACAAGCCACTGGGGACACTGAAGGACCTGAGAACAGGAGACACCCCCTCTCCCAAAATAACCCGCAAGCGCTTGCTGGAAAGTGCAGTGGACTGAGGTGAGAACTGAAGCGGCAGCTGAGAAGGGTTTGCCTACTTCCTTAGCAGATGAGTGCAGAGGGCAGAATAACAAGGCATGAAGGGCTGGACCTTGGAAGTGACCGGCTCCGGTTCCCGTGCTAGACAGGGCTACGTACTAAGAGGAAACTCTTGGCAGTGGAATCAAAATTGAACAGGATGGGGAAAATGAAGATGAAACGCAGAGAAGGCCCACAAGAAATTAGGGGAGGGAACAGAGCCAGAACATCTCCGAACGCAAGACACCACATTTTTGACATAAATGAAAGCAACAGAAGAGGGAGCCCTATGAAACTAGACAAGCTTCCCTGAACCACACTTTCCTCTAAAAGTATAAAACTATTAACTCACATAAATCCGAGCAATGGAAGCTCCAAGGTCAAAGCCCACATAATTATCATAAGAAAAAAAGAATTAACATCTCAAAAAGTCATCCCTATAAAGAAGATCTATACTGGAACCTATTATTTCAAAATACACTAATATACATTAAGAAAATTATAGAAGACATGTAAGAACAGCATCAGATAGAATTAGTAAAACTCAGAAATGAAGTGACAAAACTCCAGAAATATTATAAATAAAAGGAAAAATTGTCTTAGAAAAAACTAAATTACAATGAAAACAAGAACAAATAAGACAATAAATAAGGCTTTAAGAGAAATAACAGGTGAAAAGACACAAATTTTTTTAGAAGTAAAACTATAAATGAAGAGATTAAAAGAATTTAAAAGAACATATCAAATATTGAAGATAGACAAAGAAGATCCAACACACAGATAATACAAGTCCCTAAAGAAAAAACCAAAGCAAAGGCATGAACAAATACTAAGAATTTTAATTCATGAAAACTTTCTTTAAAAAAACATTAAAACCGCCAGGTGCGGTGGCTCACGCCTCTAATCCTAGCACTCTGGGAGGCCGAGGCGAGTGGATCATTTGAGCTCAGGAGTTCAAGACCAGCCTGAGCAAGAGCAAGACCCCATCTCTACTAAAAATATAAAGAAATCTGGAAATCTGGACAACTAAAAATATATACAAAAAATTAGTCAGGCATGGTGGTGTGTGCCTATAATCCCAGTTACTCAGGAGTTTGAGGCAGAAGGATTGTTTGAGCCCAGGAGTTTGAGGTTGCTGTGAGCTAGGCTGACACCACGGCACTCGAGCCTGAGCAACAGAGTGAGACTCTGTCTCAAAAAAAAAAAAAAATTAAAACCACGTAATAAAAGATCACACAGTGTACCTGAGAGTATTGACTCAGATTGACCCACACCAAGACATATTCTAATAAAAGCACCTTTTGGCATCTATGTGAAAAAGACCACATGATTTATAAAGAAAAGAAAATTAGATTATCACCAGACTTTTCAACAGTAACATTTTATACCACAAGTAAATGGAGTAACATATCCAAGATGCTCAAGGAAAGGAAATAAGATCCAAGGATTTTGTGCCAAATTTATTTTCAAATGCAGTACACAAACTTATAAACATGCAAGAACTCAGAATACATTCCCCAAGAGCCCTTCCTAAAGAAGGTACTAGGAATATGCTACAGATGACCAGAAATGACTAGAGAGACCTTGACACAGGGCCTGGTGGTGAGCATTCAATATGTATTTGCAAAACCAAGACTACATGAGCACTGCAAGGAGAGTGCAGTACACGACGGCTGTGTGCCCTGATGGTGTGACTACAGTACACCCCAAAAAATAGAGAAGGAAGAATTAGCACATACAAAAAACTTAACCATGTTCAGCTATCATAAATAATGTTGATAGTATTGGTTGTATTATGAGACTGTGTGTGTGGGTTTGTGCAAGTGTGTATGTGTGCGTGCCTGGGGCAATGTGGAATAATGCAAATGAGAAATTATGAAGAATCTGTGATCCCCTGTGTCCTTGGAGACTGAGATTCTCGATATGGAAGAAAGGAGGCACAGATGTAATACAGGAGTTAGTAAAACCCATAATCCTAAATTTGAACTGAAAATATCAGTTTCAACACACGAGGTATTTTATCACACACACATGCATGCACACCAGTGATGTGCCGATACCAGCTCACAGGAGCTGATCATTAAATTTTTTAGGAATTTTGTGAGGCCGTTGTGACACACGCCACAGTATGTAAGTTTCCTAGCTCTGTCTATTGAAAATGCTTTAAAGGCCGGACACAGGGGCTCACGCCTGTAGTCCCAGCACTTTAGGAGGCTGAAGCAGGAGGATCACTTGAGGCCAGGAGTTTGAGACCAGCCTAGACAACAACATAGTGAGACCCTGTCTGTACAAAAAAAAGAAAATAATAAAAAATTAGCCAACGTGATGATGCACACCTGTAGTCCCCACTAGTGGGGAGGCTGATGTAGGAGGATCACTTGGGCGTAGGAGTTCAAGGTTACAGAGAGCTATGTTAGCACCACTGCACTCCAGCCTGAGCAACAGAGCAAGACCCTGTCTCAAAAAAGAAAAAAAGAAAGAAATCCTTTAAAGACAACGAACAGTCAACCCATTAGCGTGAGTGTCCCTAGCTCTCAGATAAAACACCATTTCCTACTCAAAGAAATCAGCATTTCTTGGGAAATTGCTGGTTTCAGACAGGGACAGGAAACTCTTCTCATATTAGAAGCAAGGAAGTTCTCAGAGACCACCAGGTTCATGGCAGAAACCTCAGGATCCAAACTGAAGAAATTCCCTCTGGCCAAAGACGGGACATACTGAGATCCACTGAGGAT